AGGGCCAGATGAGTAATCAATCTTTATTTCAAAATTAATTTCCTTTGGATCCATTAACAAAAATTAAGGCAGCAGAGAAAAGTTTGAGTGACTGAAATAAGAGATGGAACCCTAAGTATTCAAAGGAAAAGAATGTGGATTACTTCTGTGCTCCTAAGACAATAATCAAATCTATGCCTTTGTATACATGTAAAGCAATTTTTGCAGGAGGCCAATTTTTTTTAGCATTAACTGTTCTCAAAATATGACAGTTTATTTTTCAAAGATTGGGATACAAAAGATATATAGAAAATATATAACTATATAGAAGTACAACTGAAGTCCATTTATTATTTAATATAATCATTTAAATATATTTTCACATTCATACTTTTTATTGTTTTTATGTAGAGGATGGAGCTTTTGTTTGGTTATGCTAAAATAATTTTTCTTACCAAATTAACTACTTCTCAAATTCCATTTAAAATAATAAAAGCTAACATATAGAACATTTTCTATAAGTCCAGGCACTATTCTAAGTTCCTTACATATATTAACTCGTTTTATTCTCTAAAGAGCCCAAGGTATATGATATTATTACCTCTTTTTTAGAAACAGGAAAGAGAAGTATTAAGAGGTTAATTTAATCAAAGTCATATAGCTCGTTAGTCATAGAATGAGGCCTTAAATCCAGACTGCTTGATTCCAGAGTCTGACCTCTTCTGACCATTTTCTTAAATTTAGTTTGATCTCCTATTTTTGAATTCTTAGAAAGTAGTTAACTTGCTGCTGACTGAAATGCATTGGAAAAGAAAAAAAGCAAAATATCAATGACTTTATTTAAATTGTTTTCTAACCACTTTAGGGTTGGTTAGGTTTCTAACCACTTTTCTATTTTCCCTTTAATTAAGAATAAGCACAACTGACTTTGTCAGTCAAATTAGTATGTCACTTACCATGTGTAAATCAGGCAACATAAGAAAAAGTGTCACTTCACTCTCATTGCTTCATGGTACTCTTTTGCAGTATTTATTTATGTGATTATGCAAATCATCTGGGAGGCTTTTCGCTCACAGTATCCATCCAAATGTTTCCCCAGTGCCTTCCTCCCTAACATCCTTCAGATCTGGGTCTCCTACCCATGAGGCTAGATGACAGGGCCCCTTCCCTCCCCTCTCTTTATAAGACTCCAAAAGTCTCAGCTGCCACCAAGCCCCCTGGCTGGTCCTTCTTTGACCTAACATGAACACTGTCATCAAAATGGTCTTTCTGCCATTTCAATTCCAAGATAAATACCCAAGATGAAAAGTGCTGTGTCATAACTCTAGGACAAAGCAAAAACTCTCCATATTGACACGAAAATGTCCTTTATGAGCTGGTTCTATGTGTTCTAGAGAAGTGAAGCTAGCTGGTTCTGAAACCTTTTCTTCTTTGAAAATATGATGAAGGCCATGAATACTCCCCTCAGAAAAATGCAAAAAAATCCGTAAATGCCTTTAAGGTTTATTATCAAATTCTTGTCTAAACACAATTCTCTTTCATCATTTTCTAAAATCTTTTTTTTATAACATGATGAGAGAAAAGATCACATCAGTCTGTATCACTATGAATTCTCAGAGAACATGGACTTAATATTAATATTTCTGTTGGCCCATCAGCCCTGGAAAACACTTAATATAATGATGTGCAATAATAATTTGCTAAAGGAGTTAGTCCATAAATAGTTCCTAATAAACAGAATAGGAAGTATAATCTTGTATATTAAAATGTTTTCCCACTGATTTCTACTTGAGGTGATTTGCTATAGAGAAGAAAATATATTTCTCTTGCACTTAGATAAACCAAAACTTCCTTTCAGTACAGTATATTACACTCTTATTGCTTGAGGCATTAAGACCAAAAGGGAAAAAGAATAAAAAAAGACCAAAAGGGAAAGAGAAGCGTTAGATAGTTGTAGAGGATGAATCAGTTTGAGGAATGTCAGTTATCTTGAGTAAACATCAGGAATGAAAATATGAACATGGCCATCAAATAATGTCCTTGATTTGTATTACTGAGCATGAGATGTAGTTACTATCGGTTCTCCTGGGGAAATGCTTCAGAATTTGTATTATTTATTCATTCTTCCCCTAACTGTATACTGAATGCCTTCTACATATCTTCCTTTATAAGAAATGTTAAATAAATTCATCTAAATAATGGTATGATCCAATAATGGGGGAAAGATACCACAGAAATAAACCAGTGAAAGTGAGGTTTGGAAAGAACAGATTCCAATCCATGTCCCACCAATGGCTATCTGAGGAACCTTAGTTAAGTTATTGAAACTCCATGGATATCATTGTCCTTCTTTTTAAAATGAAAAGATAATATTTTGAAAACTTGTAAAGATTACATGAGAGAGCTTAAATAAAAGGTCTATCAATGCCTGACAACCACTGTTGTAGTAGTAGTCTTAATAGTAATTTGCAATTATGAATAGTGGTAGTCTTAATAGTAATTTGCAATTATGAATAACAGTTTAAAATTTTATAATTAAATAAGTACAATATAAATATGGGAGAAGAAATGTGTTTAAAAATAAGTATAGTTAATTTATAAAAAGAAAAGGTCAGTATGAACTACAATATCCAAGAAAGGTTTCATGGATCAGGAAGGAACTAAGAAGGGCATTAAAGGAGAGAAAAACAAGAGTCCATAAAGAAAGAACGCAATCAATAAAGGTTTGGGATCCGGAGAAGCTTGGGATACTTGGAGCCTGTGGCAGAATTTTCTGAACTCAGGCCAACATTTAAGAAAGAAATGAAAGAGGAAAAAAACGTGAAATGATTATATCCTCTATACTCAATCAGAAAATACTGTAAAAATATATGCCTTACTATTATGTAATTGATCAAAATGTCTTCTTAAAATAAAAAAATTTTTTAGTTATTATACAGAATAATAACTGTAAAGATATCAGCTAAAGTAAACTAAAAGAGAAAACATTCTAAACACAAGAAATATCTTTTTCTTAATGCCATTGTTTTTAGGAAATTGGGGGGGTGGGATATCTAAAGATATTAGGTATGCTTTGAAAATTAAGTTTTCAAACAAAAATACAGCCAAAAGAAATACAAAGGCATTCAAAAGGAAAATATTTCCCCAATATCTCAAAAAGAACTAGCAACAGAAAAAGAAATATGAAAATAGTACACATAAAAAGAAAAAATGTGGATGGGTTAACAAATTTATAACATGTGATCTAATAATAGGAAAGATATTCTATTATGTAATTATATATTTCTCACAAACACTCTGAACTGGCTTTGAAAATATGAGGGAGGATTCTAAGTTATTAAAATCTTATATCCCCATCTACTTATTTAATCTCTCAAGAGAAGTGTTAACCTATTAAAACTCTAGGAATTAATGTAAAAATTGAATATTTTATCATTTCAACTCACACATAACACACTGATAATTTAAGAAAATTTTCATTTCAATTATCTCATTTGTCAAAAAAACTGAAGATTTTTTTATAATCTTCAAATGGAAAACTGAAAAAAAATAGTTTATGAAGATGAGTATTAATATTTAAATGTAGCAAAATTAAAATGTGGCAAAGTGATATTTTAATTGTATTTACTGTACAATAAACTTGAAATTAATCGCTATACTTTTTAAAAGCCAGACCTGAAATTAACCATGAATTTAATCTTTTAAATTCATGTTTATTATGTTTTAGTTGATGTTTAGTTTAATAGGAATATGAATATCCTCTACTATCATGCCAATTGCTTTTCAGTCTTTTAAAGATGAGATTCTTGTAACTCATCAATAATGTTTTGAAGACTCTCCAATGTGAAATATATATACTATGTACAGTGTTATGGGTGCTATACTATCTTTTCAAATATACATATAGTTTTTTAAAGTGTAGTATTTAAACCAGACATAGATTTGAAGTTGGTCTGCTCATGGATTTAAAGATGCCCTTCAATAACTCAGAAGCCCTGTGGGCACTATGGTTACATAACTCCATTGCTAACTACAAGATATTCGAACTCACCAGGCACTCCTCCAAATAAAGATGGAGCAATGAGCTTCCTTAAAGATTTCAGCCTTGAAAACCCTATATGAAAATTCTACTCTGTCTAAAAGTAACAGCTTTGGGTTTGATTCAATAGCCAAATAAGCTCTCAGAGGTAAAACACTTATTAGATGGAGACCATTGATTCAAAAGTCAATTTAGAAAGGAAATCTATTCACATTTGCTTAGGGCTTCATAATTTACTCTATAGGGTTTACACACCAACCCTGGAAGGTGTAGAGGGAAAGTAGAAAAGTTATCATTTTACAGATAAGAAGATCAAAATCTAGAGAAGCTAAGAAAGAGTTAACACCTACATATTATTATGGTAGGATCCCTTTTAAACAACAGACCCCCATAGTACTTATTTATTACTAATGTTTTTGATCATTTATAACTTATTCATATGGAGATGCAAGAGCAGTATAAAATGTGGCTACAAACCATTTTGAGGGTATCGAGAGAAATGGCAGAATGAGCCTCACCATGGCACAGAGATAAGCCCACTGAAAAATTTTCATTCCCAATTTTTAAACTTCCATTTTGTGCTCATTTGTAAACTAGTAATGAGCATTTTGTGCTTGCTTGTCATTAGTCTAGTTGTAATAAGTCTAGTTGTCTAGTTGATCATTCAGGTAAATGCTTTAAAATGTATTAACACCATTCATTACTCAGCTAAAGATAAGTTTGCAATTTTTAGAACAATGAATGGGGTAAGATGTAAAGTATTGGAAATATTAACTAAAGGGCCCTTGAAGGCCTAAGAAAAGAAAGCTTAGGAAAAACTGGAGGTGGAACAATGGTTTTAAAGCATATTCTTTAGGATTTAAACATCTCTATTTTTTTAAGGTGATATATTAAAATGATGTTTCTTTTTTGTCAGTCTCATTCTAAAGAACCATTTTTTAAAAGACAACAAATTGACAGAGTGATGAAATAAAATGCTTACAGGTTTGTATCTCAGTGCATCTCTGTAGGATCCAAACAAAGCAGCCTGTGCCCTAAGGAAGGCCCTAGCTACTCCATCACCCGTAGCTGTAGACTGCTTCTTCAGTTTATTTTTCAAGGCCGAGACCTGCATGACAGAGAGGAACAGTTAAATTAACACCTCAGAAATTGGTACAGCGAGGTACGAACCCAATCAGCAGGCAAACCACAGTGTCTGCAGGTCAGCCAAAAACTCATCCTCCTCCCTGATAGCTTATCTTTTTAACTGCACAGAGCACCTGCTGGTCTGTTAATTGAAACGAAAGCAGGAGATGAGAGTAATGTGCTAATGCAAATTGGTTTATGCTCTCTTTTTTTTCCCAAGGCCTCTTGACATAAATAAGCTTTAATTATTTTAAAGGAAACTGCTTGTGAGCCACTTTTCTGCAGATTTTTAGCAATTACAACATGTGTCTACTTGTTTTTGAGATGCAGCCGGTTGGACATCTTTCATTTCTGCTACGTAAGATGCTTTGTCACAGGTCCTCCAGGATCACTTACCATTTAATTTTATTTTGGGGAAGCCTAATTTGCATATGCACTTTCTCCAGTCATTTGTTGAATAGCTTTTCACCACATTAGATTTTTTTAAAGCTAAAAGGTAGGGGAAACCTACCATGAATCAAGGCTATAGTAGGAAAATTTGATACACTGTTGCACAGAACTGCAGGACAGTTTTCTAACACAGGTGTTCACATTGCCATTCCTGAATGAAGGGAAAGAGGCTCCAAGGTGTACATTAATTTGTTTTCACTCTTTGGTTAAGAAGTGGCAGAACTCTCCTTTGAACTTGGCTCTGTCCTGTTTTTCCCACTACTGCTCACTAGGCTTGAGTTCAGTGTCATTGCCTTGTGAACAGGTTGAGTCAGAACCATCCAACGTACCAGAGAAGGAAACACTGCCTGTTCCTATGCCACCCTAACAACTGTCAACCAGTAATTAGATCAAAATGAATACTTTTAAACCAAATAAACCCGTCTCTAGGAATTCACCAAATTAAAACGGCATTTGTTTGTTACAGCTGTTCATACTTTAGCATCACATTTAATGTATTATAAAGAATGCAAATTATTTACTAATAGCCCCTATTAGGAGATGTGATATGATCTTACACATTCAACTCATTTGACTAATTTACTTAAATATGGTGATTTTCATGTCCACTATCCATCAATGCTTAACCTATGAACATGTTAAGTCAGCAAAAATTTTGTTTCTTATGGGGAAACAAAACCTGATGGGACAAGTTCTGCTTGGATAACATGTTCACATCCTTATAAAACTGCCAAAGAACAAAATAACATCATTCTTCCTTTAGATATATATATATGCAAAGAGGAATATTTTTATTTCTTTGTGCACTTTCTTGACTACTCTTGTAGATGATGATTGTAATTGAAGTGTCAACCTAATTAACAACTAAACTTTGAGTAATGCTAATGAGAAATGAACACAGCATCAGAGGAAAGACCAGCTCTACAGGTGATAAATCTTCACAGTAGTGACATTTTCCAGTGTAAAGTCAGAGTTACTGTGATCTGATCAAAGAAAGAGACCCCCATTGGGTCCAATTATAGCCATAGTTTTGAAAAAATTATTGAGTTATGATGTCCATAATCTATGCAGAAAGGTCTTTGCAATATAGGTCTTCTCCCCATAGCTGTGATCTTTTCCATTTATATCCAAGTCCATAGATTAAGATAAAAGTGGGGAGGGAGGGGGAAAATGAGCAACTGATATTAAGGGCTAAAGTAGAAGACGAATGTTTTGAGAATGATGAGGGCAACAAATGTACATATGTGCTTGATACAATGGATGTATGTATGGATTGTGATAAGAATTGTACGAGCCCCCAATAAAATAATTTTTTTTAAAGTTTAGAGCCTTATTCATTTAGTCCACAAGTGCATAAACCAGGATTCATTTTAGATGGAGTTATTGTTGAAATCTAACTTTATTAAATGTACATTTTTTAGGAAATCAACAGATTCAAAGCAGTAAATACTGCTAATCGTGCAAAAATAAACATTCTAACTTAATGCCACATATCCTCAAGTTTACAATAATATGTTTTAATGGTTTGAAATGTCTTTAGGGAAAAACCAACATGATTAAATATCAATACTTTCATTTCTTGCAAACAGAAGAGGTTTATAATGAAAGGACAGTGGTTCTAGTCTTTCCAAGAAAGATATTTGTGTTTTTTAAATATTTTACTTTAAAAAATAAAGGCAGAATAAAGTCCCTCATAATTTCACCAAGGAAAATGGCTAAATCATGAAATTGATGATCTAATACTCCACAAATCAATGACACAGTATTCTTAAAGCAATGATAACACATATGCTCATCGAATGGAGGCAAAGCAGCACAGTTCTTTAGCTGTTATTCCCTAAGATCCTGACTGCTTAGTCATTGCTGCCTGAATTATGCTACAGGATTAATCACACTGCCCCCAAGCCCTTCCTTAAAAAGATAAAAAATGTGTGGCCTTCATTTCAAAAATCAGTCAGTCATTGATAGTTCCTGTGCTCCCAGGTGTGAATTAACTATTTGGTTACAAGGCAGTAGACCTCTGATTTCCACCTACCTCCGCTCAGCTTTTTCCACTATCACTTGCTAGGTTTGAATTCAGTGCCATTGCCTTGAGAACTACTAATTAGATCAAAATGTTAATATTTTTAAACCAAAGAAAAACATTTCTAGGATTTTACCAAATTTAACAAACATTTTGATTTGTTATAATTTCTTATATTTTAGCATCCCATTTAGTATCTCTCATAGAATTCATATTATTTATCAATAGTCCTTACTTAGATGAATACTTGTAAGTGAAATGCACTCCTACTATATACCCTTCTCTTTTAAGGGAGAACAGATGTGATATGTTCCTATGCATTCAACCCACTCTTCATCAATATTTAACAAGGGTGCGTAGAAAACAAGTTTTAAAAGAACTTGTGGAACTGAAAAGTGGGAGAAGGGAGACATCAGACAGTGTAAGACATGACAAAATGATAATTTATAAATTATCAAGGGTTCGTGAGGGAGGGAGGGGAAAAATGAGGAGCTGATACCAAGGGCTAAGGTAGAAAGAAAATGTTTTGAGAATGATGATGGCAACATATGTACAAATGTGCTTGACACATGGATGGATGCAAGGATTGTGATAAGAGCTGAACGAGCCCCCAATAAAATGATTGTTTAAAAAAAGAACTTGCGGATGGATGTGTAGGGAGAAAAAAGGAAACTTGTTCTCAAACTGCCCTATCCAATATGGTACACCTTAGTGCCACTAGCCCTACACAAGCATTTGAAATAGGACTGCTCCAAGCTAAGATTTGTTGTAAACGAAAAACACAAACTAGATTTTAAAGGCTTAGTACAACAAATAAGTACAATAGCTGAGCAGTTTTTACAATGATTACATGTTGACTATTTTGAATATATTTGTTCAAATAAAATATTTTATTAAAAGTAATCTCATACTTTTTTCATCTCACCCATTACTATTAGGAAATTTTTCATTACTTTTCTTGATCATATTTCATGTTATTGTATAATGTTATCGCACATAAGCAAACTGCCTCATTTTATGCATACATGTGATTTAAAAGTAGCTTAAAAAGAAATATTCTTAGATTTTTCACTTGCCATTAATTTTATTTGTGTAATCTACATTAAACAAGCTTTTACTTGACCTAATCTGTTGGGCTTTGACTGCCAGTAGATCTGAGGTTGTTCCTGTTTTGCAGAGAGCAAAAGGGCAACTCTGTTTGGTATTTTTATATGCTGAAGTGGATGCTCAAAAGTAGCCTACAAAAATCCAATGGTTCTCTGTCAATCAGGCTCATACATAATATTATTAGTCTAATATAAAATAATAGTGTCAACCTTGCTGTTTTCTGGCCCTCAGATCACTGGAGAAAATGATCATCAGTTGCCACTGCCCTTTGCAGTGTTAATTAGCTTTTAGCAGTTTTCATCTCTAAAAACAGTACTGTCTCTTCTGTACTTTTTCAATTCTTGTTCTGGGAAATATCATCTTCTGCTTTAGTTTCTAAACTTCTAAGTTGAGTCATAAATAAATGCATATCTTCCTTTGAAATACTACAACTTAATACTCACACATATTTCTGAATTCAGAAAGCATTTGGAACTTTGGTCACATGGTTTATTTACTAGAAAATTCTGATCGATACTAAAAAAGTATCAAATGTTTTCTCTTTATCTGCTTTAATGTAAACTATTCTCAAACTCCTCCAATGGCTAAAATTTACTTCAGTACTGATTTTTATTTTATTTTACTTTATTTTTTGACTGATTTTTATTTTTATAATTTTCATTCTGTAAAAAATATTTCTGCCTAATTAGATATTGCAATTGATAAAAAAATTAAGCCATGCAAAGGAACTTCAGAAATAAATTTCCTTTTTCTTATCAACTGTTTAGATTCTTTTCATATAAAGAGAATGCACTGCCTCTAAGGAGCCCTGGGGAGGAATTATGACCTGGGGTTTAGCACATTGGGAGTGCACAGCAAGGTGAACACTAGCACCACCAATTCTCCACTTTCACCCTATAGCGCAAAAATGACTATGAATAAAAAGAGGGAATTACATGAGTAAACACCGAAAATAGGTATAAATTAAAGTAGTGGCAGTCACATGCACGCAGCCTGAGTAATGAAGTAATTACAGTAACTAGGAGTGAGTCAGGAAGAGCAAGCATATTAGGAGGTTGAGATTTAAAAAAGTAACAGAATTTTTTTTGTTACTTTACTTTTAGATGTGTCTTCAAAAGGGGAGAGGGAAAGAAAAAAGGAAGATGATAAACTACTAAATCCAGAAATTTAATTTTTTTTTTTTAGGGTTACAAAAAGAAAACATCAGGGTAAAGAAAAGGAAATATAAGTAAGTGTTCAGATTAATACTTAGATAATATACACTTCCAGAAACACTCTTCTGATTTTAAACAAGTCCTTTTAAATAACTACACTGTTCTCAACAAACTATATACCTTGAGAAAAATGTAATGCTTCAAATAATCATTTGCTTTAAAACAGTTATAAAGTTGAAGTATTTTATT